TGTTTAATATTAATGTGCATACCTAACATTCAGTATTTTTCCGCAGAGAAATGTATGCACATATAATAGCCTATGACGTGACCTCTATGATATAAACATGCCGCGTTTTCTAGAATTTAAAAGGATTTATATTTACTTACGATAAAAAGCTTTCCCTTCAATCTGAAAGATACGAGCTGCCTGGTGGAAGTTTTCCCGTTTACTCCAAGCACAACACATAAATTCTGATAGTTATCCCTAAAAGACGTTTACGGTTGCAATGTCGTCTTTCCGTGGATGGGATGTTCATTTCATACATAAGTGGAATACGAGAGAGCAGTATGGATCTACAGAATTAGACTTGACTTGATTTGACTAGGTGCTTTGAGATGTATGTTCATTGATACAGCTTTATCTCAGTTTATCCAAATGCTTTTAAGATACTAGAGATAAAAGAAGTTGACAAAAGTGAAAATGCAACCTTTATAAAGAAACTACTCCACAACTCAAAGTTCTTGATTTCATTGACTATGATACATTACAAACTCAATTTTAAAAGAAAAGAATCGTTTCGGCAATCAAAAGAAACAGAACTAAATCATTTCACCGTTTAGTTTGTGAATTTTTTAATCCTCATATATTCGAGTTTTGTTATAAATTCCTTATCACAAGTTGAACATTGCGATTCTTTTTATTTTTAATTTGATGATTTTTATTTTATTATGTATTTATTTATTAGAAACTTTTATTTCTCCATTTCGACAACTTAATCGAAATGGAGAAATGTTATGAAATTTCTTTTAAGATCATCGAAAATTTCCGCATAAGCCCCCTCTCCAAAAAAGAAAATAATCTTAAATACTTTTTTTTTTTTTTGCATTTAATTTTCAGAATTATTTTTTAAAAGCACCATTTTTTATGTTTCATATCTTAAAAATAAATAAAAATTCATTTAACACTCATTCATTATGAATATTAATAAATATAATAAAAATCAAAATAAATCCTGCCAGTTAAAAATGTATTAATCAACCCCAGTGAAGATTGAACTCAATGAATGAGAATGAATGAGTTTTAAATAAATGAATGATTGAGTTTTAATGATTAAGTTCAAATAGAAATCTATTTAAAACTCATTCATTATGAATATTAAAAGAATAATATAATAAAAGCAAAAAGAACATGACAATTAAAAATTTATTAATCAGCCAACCAGCGAGAATGAATGAGTTTTAAGTAAATGAATAAGTGAGTTTTAATGATTGAGTTTAAATAAAAAAATTTAAATAAAAATTTTTATTTAATTTGCAAAAGATTTTTAAATGCAAATTTATTTAAAACTCATTCATTATGAATATTAATGAATAATATAATAAAAATCAAAATAAATCCTGATAACTATAAAAGAGTACCAACTAGCCACCAGTGAGGATTGAACTCACGACCCCTGGTTTACAAGACCAGTGCTCTAACCACTGAGCTATGGTGGCTTGTTATAGCATAATTGCTAAACATTAAGATATCAAAAAACGAATTGACCGCAGTATTTACTTAGCTGCGTCATTACTATCATAAGGGATCATAAAATTTCTAGCATGGCAATCACGCAAAAACGTTGAACAACAGCGAGAGGAACATAATATCATTTTTAAGAGATAGGCAATATCTTGAAGTGAACTTTGGATTGAAGTGTCAATAGGTGAAAGATAAACCTAATGCTTTTAATTTTTCAAAGCGATTAGCACTTTCATTTAGCATTTTGTATAGAATAAAAACCATTATTTATTAAAATAAGTAACTTTCAAAGCATCAAAATTGTTAATACTGCCGAAGTTATATTCTTTAAGTTAACTGGTCCATATTCGTATTACATGTGCATAAAAAACATGCAAAGCAATTACTTAGTTTCTGTCAACGACACTTGTATTCCTTAATAAATTGCACGTCTGTGCAATAGCGTAACTGTACTAGTTGAGGCCATTGCTAATTTTTTTTTTTTAATGGGGGCCCCTAATTGCAAATCATCATTATTGTTTTTCTTTCTAATAAAGTATACTACCTAAAGATTCCTTAAGGTTTGCAATGTCCATTTTCGATAACAAACCGTTTCATTTGATCATGTGGTATTTTAAAATGACCCTTGTTAATAATATATGACTGAGATGTCATTTTTTTTCAAGTCAATTTCTGTCACTTCACTTTGGTTTTGTTTATGTGTATCGCTAGTACAGGACTGTGATGGTTCTGGCTCAGTGTTGTCGGACACTGCAATACTATCACTTTCGGTTCGGGTAATTTCTTCATTTCCGCCGCACTGTTCCTCTGTTTCTCCCTTTTTCTTTCTTCGTTCTATTATTTCCTTCAAACTCCATCTTTCTTGTTTCGTTTTTCACATCCACTAAGTTAGTAATTTCAATAATAGTTAGTAATAGAATATCAATTTCCACGATCAACTCGTTAACTTTACGACTGATCACGGATCCGATGAAACAAAAAATAAGATAATTGTGACGCATGGAGAATCCACGAAACAAGGGATTTCTCCGCTTTCTGGAAGTCTCACTTGCCAGCGGGAATTCTCACTTTTAATTTTATAAGTACCTATTCAAGAATCAGGGGAATTCCAAAACAAATAAATTTAAAAATGTCCCAGTGGCACATGGGTGGCAGCGGGAATTCCCACTTTTATTTTTTACCACAATTATTCAGAACCAGAAATTGGAGAAGTCCCTAGCATCATTATTACCCTTGCGTAACTGTTTATATTACTATTACTACCAGATACGATATATTTTTCATAGAAATGAATACGTTCAAAATCTTGATACATATTTTTTTAATTTATTACATATTTATAATTGATATATATATTTTTTAATTTATTACATATTTATACTTGATACATATTTTTTTAAATTTAATTTCATATTTATACTTGATACATATTTTTATAAATCTTACGTTATTCTTTAACAATAAATCTCAGGCTTTTTCCTGTACTTTTCATAGCCTCTCTGTTCGAACGGGGCCCGTGGCAATTTCTTTTTGCCACGTCTTTTCCAATAATGGGGATTGCTACGCCACTGCGTCTTCCGTAGATTGATCAATTTGAAGTGTTACTCCCCGTCAAGGGCCGATGGATGAAATCAAAAAATAGTTCGGAGGGTCTATCCGTAATGATTCTTTTTCCGAAAAGAAACATAAGCAAATATAAAAAGCGTAGATTGATTCAGATTATGAATACCAAAGCTCAATAATGGGGATCACAAAGGGAAATATTGATCTCTGGAAATCAAAATAATATATTCGGAGGGTCTATCTCTGGAAATCAAAATAATATAGTTGGGAGGGTCTGGAAATCAAAATAATATAGTTAGATTGATTCAGGATTTGAAGCCCAATAAGCACAAATACCAAAATAAAAGTTCCCCGTAGATTGATTATTTGAATGTCCAACAATTGGGATCACAAAAGTGATCGATATTGATATCTGGGAATCAATATAATAAAGTCGGGGATCGATCCATAGATTGATTCATGGGTTCAAATGGAGGTCATTAGAAACATATTGAGGACATTAGTAAATTGCATATCAAGTGTCCCTAAGTGCCTTATTTTCATACTTTTCCCTTAATGCCAGAAATGTGAATGTGCAAATTTTCACTTGCTGAATGTTTACTGCAGGTTTTTTTTTTTTAATTTCACATTTTTCTAATGCGCATGGAAAGAACTGTGCATTTCAAGAGATGATATATTGCAAAATATTAACTAGATCCTCGAAAGAAAAAGGCGATGTTAAGAAGATTAGTAGAAAATGTGTCCATCTGAAATAAAGACACTTTATTAACATGAATTTTAACTGTATAACTAAAACAACCTTTTAACTGAAACAAACAATCAATGAATCTAGTCTTTTTTTTATTCCTTTTTATAATAACTTATAGCAAGACGAGAGGGTATAAATAATAAAAGCCAACTAACTCAGGAGTCGACAGTCAAAGACGTTTGGTGACACCTAGAAAAAGATCTGGACCACGGGCAAAATCGAGTTTAGCTTTGACTGGCTGAAACTGTACCTTGAAGCATGCCCGGCTTTTAGCATTTTTTGTTTATTTTAGTTACACTCTAAAATTAACAGTTAAGTGGCCTCTGTTGGAAATTCTGTGCTGTACTATAAGACACTATTTGCAACTAAAATTGTCAATCAGAATGAGAAATCAAAAATGGATATTTAACATAATTAAATACTTCATGCAATACGTTACTTAACCGATAATGCAGTACTATAAGCAAGGACAAATTATTATTACGCAATACACTTATCTAATTTTATTGTATATTACATTTATTATATTATTATAATTTACATTTATTATAATAAGCCAACAGTGAGGTGGTATACTAAGTCCTATGTGGAAAAACGCATAGGTAACTTCAAAAAAAGTTAATAGAACATCGAAACTAATTGATTAGAAAAATACCAGCTCAAAATACATCATTATACAAGAAACATAAGTTTTCCTCTACTTTTACACAGTCGTTTCACATTTTAGTTTTTATATATGGAAACTTAGGATTCCCACAAAATCTGTACTTCAACCATGGTTATGGTGCCTTGTAGCGAGAGCTACAGAGAACACAATTTATAAATAAATGTCAAATATTTACTGTTTTTTCAATTTAGAAAAGGTAAATGATTATAAGTATTTCATCGTTAAGTTTCATCGTTACTAAAACCTTCCTTCCATTTTTTAAAGGATATATTTCACTAGATTTCCCACATTTAAGAAAATCTTTCTTATACGCAAAATATTTTCTATTTCCGAACAAAATAATTTAAAAAATAATTTTTTTATAAATAGAGGATTTTTTCATAAAATTAATAAACTATTATGTATCTTTTTAAAAAATCAATAAAAATAAAAATATATGACAATAAAAATATATGATAAAAATTAAAATAATGACAACTGGCAATAGCAATAAAAACACATGACAATAAAAATATATGACAACTCACAAGCCACCAGTGAGGATTGAAATCACGACCCCCTGGTTTACAAGACCAGTGCTCTAACCACTGAGCTATGGTGGCACGCAAGCAGATTAAACTTCCTTTGTTAACATTAAGATAACAAGAAAACCTATCGAGTATTTATTTAGCTGCATCATTACTATCACAAGAATCACAAAACTTATCGCACGGCAGTTATCACAAAACGCTGAATAGCTGTAAAATGAATAGAATAGTTTTAAGAAATAGCCAGCATTTTGAAATGTACTTTGCATTGAGGTATCTAAGATACGCCTAATGCTTTTTAACTTTTCAAGCGGATGGCTCATTAACTTTCTAAGCGGATGGCAATGGTAATTTACCATTTTGTTGAACAGCAACAAAATAATCCACTACTTATTAAGACACGTAATGCATTAAACGAAGGTCAACATATCAGTTTATTTCTTGAAGTTCTTGCAAGCTCATATTATTCTAATTTATTAAAAACATAGCTCATTTGTAAGAACTCCATGTACAATTAATTTTACAAAATAAAATATACTGACGTGGCAAACGGTAACGGCACGAGACTGTGACTGAATTCCACTGGCGGCGATCGTTGCCGTGACTGCTTTCAGAAACGAGGAAACGATGGGGGGGGGACAGCAACACACAAAATGCTGAAGAGCAGTAAAATGAATAGCATCGTTTTTAAGAGATAGGCAACATCTCCAAGTGCATTTTGCACTGAACAGTCTAACACCTAATGCTTTTTAACTTTTCAAAGCGGGTGGCGCTTTCATTTAGAATTCTGTTGAACAAACAAGTTTCCACACACACACCCACTATTTATTAAAACACAAAACATTAAATTATTTGAATTTATTTCTGTGCAGCTGTTATTATTACATCTTGCATGTTCATATTATATAGGGCCAGAGAGTCTGGCTTAGGGTTCACCGGCGGTGCCATGGTTGTTTATAATGGTTTGAATCCACTTTAAACCGTAGGTCCCGGTCTAACTGGATCGTAGAGTGTTGCGGGTGTATTGTTACTCCGCGTCCGTAACTCATCTTCAAGCTACACACATCTTCTGTTAATGCAAAGTGAGTAACGTCTGTGCAGCGCTTGCCTTAAGGCATCGAAGACAACTGTCTAAGTGTTTGCCAGCTGCATTAGAATAAAAAATGTTCATATTATTATAATTCCTTAAAAATATAATTCATTTGTAATAACTCTCTTCTTCCTGAACCATTAATTTTATCTTTTTTTAAAAGTAATCTGACTCATGGCAAACGATAACGAGCGTACAAAGAGACTGTGATTGAAATCCACTGGCGGCGATCGTTGCAGCCACTGATTTCAGATCGAGTAAATGCGAGGGAGTTAGCAACAAATCCTTGTAAAATTTTGCACTTTGACAAGCAGTCTGCCTAGCAGGAATTCTGTTGCGCAAATACCAGATAGTTACCTCTGAAAGACTACTTGAAAGCAATGCACTCCCTTCATAGTCAGTTTGTGAGCTGTCTTTGGCAGGCATCAGTGGAACTCGAGGTCCACCAATGTTAGCCAAAAATTTGTGATACTAAAAAATGGTATGATATGGCAGGCTCTCGCTGTGATGCCTCATAGATAACATTAATCTGCTACAAAATTCAGATCAAGCATCCTGACATTGAAAAACATTTATTTATGCGTGTTTTTATATTAATAAGCACATCTAAAATTTCGTAGTTTACCGCAGTGATATGTACACATATATAATCACAATACTCATTACGCTATACGCAATGCCAAATTATTATTGCGCAATATACTTATCTAATTTTATTGTATTTGGACATTTGGAAAGAATTCACCGATACTCTATATGAGGTTTATGCTTTTTTATATCATCATCATCATTGGTGCAACAACGCTATGGTGAGCCAAGGGCAACTAGCTACTGGCAGATTTCGAGATAGGAGTTCTACGTTCTACAGTCCTATTAGATTATCGAAGATTTTTAATAATTCTAATAAAATTTTTTATTTTAATTTTCAATCGATTTTTAATTTATCCACACAAAAAAAGTTTCGAATCGATATTGATAAAATTATTTAATAGACTGTTTAAAAATGAAAAAATTAAACTATTGTCTTTATTCTGGTGTAATATTTGGTAAACAATTGTGATAAACAACTGTTATAATATTTGGTAAACAATTGTGCTAAACAACTGTTATGGTATAATATTAGTAAATTTTTATGGTAAACAATTGTCTTTATTTTGGTATATAATCAGAATTTTAAAAAAAAATTCAATTTCGGAATGACTTTTGAAAACTACAATATATGCATTTAACTAAGTCGATAACATTAAAAATACAAAATATGTTTAAAGAAGTATTCAATTTAAGGTAAAAGAAATGCAGAAGTCTCAATAAATTAATAATAAAAAGAATTTGTCTTTTATATCAAATAAAAAAAAATTGATTAATCTAAAGATTTTAATTTAATTTATACTGCATATTAGTTTGAAAATTGAGTAAGGTATTTTTTTAAATAATTTAATCCATAATGTATAATTTTAAATATCTTAAATAATATAAAAATTTAATGAACAAGTAAACATGTTTCTATAAATTTATATTAATTCAATGAAAATTGAATTATTATATGATATTTACAATAACTTCAAACTTTATAATAAATACGTCAGTTTGACATTCACCAGTAAATAAACGTAAAAAAAAAAAAAGATTTAAAGTTTAGTAATAGCTTCATTTTAATTGTAAGAAAAAGTCCCTTCTCTGAAACTGATATTCCCTAGAGGGAAAAATAGATTCGTTGTTCCAATTTATCGAACGTAATTTACACGCATGCCGTAAACAAATTTTATTTATAGCGCCATCTATATGTCGAATGACAAATTAATTTTATAAATATTAGTGAAAAAAAACTACTGCATATTTAAATACTTATTCTTATTAAATTAGCTATTCATTTAATTATTGCATTTGGATTAGAAAACTATTTACAATATTACTCTTTTTTTAAATTCAAAAGGTTACTTGAAAACAAATAAATGAAATTACAAAAATAAAGAAAAATATATTATTACAAAACCGTTTAAGAATTTAAAAAAAAAAATTAATTTTTTAATTAAGAAAATCATTATTATAATTGATAACTGTTATGTAATAAAACATTTACGGAACCCTACAATTTATCACCGGCTTGTTAAATTCGTGTAAATACAGTACTTATAAATTAGTACATCAAAATTACCGAAAGAATTTAGACCAATGAATGAAAAAATAATGATTTTCTTTGTGTCCTATTTAATACTTATTAAAGTAATGAAAAATAAAATAATTATCTTTAATGTTTGAAAATAATTATACAATTCCATATTCTAAATAATATACAATTCATAATATCTTAGCACCTTAATATGTAAAATCATAATATAGTATTATCTTATTGCACAAATCAATATTATTATTTGTTTTATCTATATAAGCTTATCAAATCAAAATCTTGTAAAATTATTTATTTTATCTTATATAAGCTTATCAAATCAAATCATAATTTGTTATCTTATTATACAAATCAGTATTCTAAACTATTTTATAATGCCTTATAAATCAACAATCACAATATTACTTATTGTTATGTTATTATTGTTACTGTTATTAGTTATTATTAAGGTTATTTTTAGGTATAATAAACTATATTATTATTTAGTATATTATTGTTATTAGTTATTATTATTATCGTTGGGCTTTATCTAACTGTTAAATAATGACCACCATTGTTTTATATATATATATATATTCAAAAATTATTTGTTTTATCTTATCTTATCAAATCAAATCATAATATATTATTTTTTTATTTTACAAATCAACATTCTAAAATATTTTATAATGCTTACTAAATCAACAATTATTCACAAAGTTAGATATTGTTAGATTATTATTGTTATTAGATATTATTAAGGTTATTGTTATGGCTTTTATGTAAATGTAAAATAGTGATTACCATTGGTTTATATTTATGCATTCAAAAACTATTTGTTTTATCTTTTATAATCTTATCAAATCAAATCATAATATATTATTTTTTATTTTACAAATGAATATTCTAAAATATTTTATAATGCTTACTAAATCAACAAACATTCAGGTTTGTTATTGTTAGGTTTATTATTATTATTATTATTAGTTATTATTAATCTTATTCTTTTTATTGTAAAATATTAATTACCATTGGTTTATATTTTATACATTCAAAAATTATTTGTTTTATATTATATAAGCTTATCAAATCAAATCATAATTTATTATCTTATTATACAAATCAACATTCTAAAATATTTTATAATGCTTACTAAATCAACAATTATTCACAAAGTTAGATATTGTTAGATTATTATTGTTATTAGATATTATTAAGGTTATTGTTATGGCTTTATCTAAATGTAAAATAGTGATTATCATTTGTTTATATTTATGCATTCAAAAACTATTTGTTTTATCTTTTTAATCTTATCAAATCAAATCATAATATATTAAACAAATGAATATTTTAAAAAATATTTTATAATGCTTACTAAATCAACAATTGGTTTATATTTTCAATCATTGGTTTATATTTATGCATTCAAAACTATTTGTTTTATCTTTTATAATCTTATCAAATCAAATCATAATCTATTATTTTTTTATTTTACAAATGAATATTCTAAAATATTTTATAATGCTTACTAAATCAACAAACATTCAGGTTTGTTATTGTTAGGTTTTTATTATTATTATTATTATTAGTTATTATTAATCTTATTGTTAGGCTTTTACTAATTGTAAAATATTAATTACCATTGGTTTATATTTTATACATTCAAAAATTATTTGTTTTATATTATATAAGCTTATCAAATCAAATCATAATTTATTATCTTATTATACAAATCAATATTCTGAAATATTTTATAATGCCTACTAAATCAATAACATTCATAAGGTTAGTTATTGTTAAGTTGTTATATCTAACTGTAAAATAATGATTACCATTAATTTATATTTATACATTCAAAAATTATTTGTTTTACCTTAT